TCTACTATTCTTTCTCTTCAAGAAGTTCGGCAAGATGGACGTCAAGTTCGCGATTTTTTGAAACGGGTTGTCCCTGGATCAGAAGTCTTCACAAGCTGCTTTACTCGTGATGGAGTTGGCCTCGCTTGTGGTGGGGTGGCGACTGCTGTTCCTCGGGCTCCGGGGGTGTCAGTGGAACCTGAAGAAGTTGTTCGTGGTCGGGTTCTCCGACTTCGTATATGTAATCCTTCCTCGGGCCACGAGATTTTGCATTGGAATATCCACAACCACGCGTTGTCCGCGAGCACTGTCGGTATTTTGAGCCGGAGGCTCCTGGAAGACAGAGCCTGGGCGGTGGCGGAGCCATGCTCCCGCCTCCTCATCGTCGTGGGGGACTTCAACTTCGCCAGCGTGTCCCGCTTGTCGTATGATGCTCCCGTGGCTGCCCAGCGGCAGCCCCGCCCGCAGCACGCAGCGGCGAAGCATTGGGCGGCGGCGCTGGATGTGCTGACGGAGCTCCGCACGCCGATGCCCACGCATTACTACAAGAGCGGCCACGCCGTCTCATGCATCGATCGGATCTTTGCGTCGTGGCCCGGCTGGGTGCTGTGCCAGCTGCAGAAGAGCATGCGCGTCCACGGCTGCCCGGTTGATCTCGAGCGGCAGCGGATCAGTGACCATGCTGCTGTCAGTGCGGAGTTTGGTCAGCGGGCGGCAGTTGATCGTGAGCAGCAAGCCATGCCGCCGTCTGTCTTCAAGGACCCGAAGTACGCAGAGTACGTGGAGGCCATCATGGAGGGGCTGGAGGTCGAGGAGCTGTCTCCGCCGCGGCGTTCGGAGTTCATGAAGGAGGTGATGAGGGCTGCTGCCGCGGAGGTCCGAGCTCGCATCCTCGGGGGCTTCGGGCGGCCTCTCGCCGGTGACCTTCGGGGGCCCGCTGCCCGGTCGTCAAGGTCACCGACCCCGCTTGCCGCCGGTGACCCTCTGTCGTCTTCTGCCGGGTTCGCAGGGTCACCGGCTTTGCCTGCCTTCGTCCAGCAGCAGGTTGCCCGCGCGATGGCAAGGGTGATCTGGCGCCAGGGCGCGGCCTTGGCCAGGAGGCTGTGCGACCAGTTCGAGGTAGCCGCCAACCATTTGCACGTCGCGGAGTCTGCGGTCACGTTGCTGGAGCCGGAGGTCTTTGCAGCCTGGACGAACGACGTCCACTCTTCGATCCTCGGCGCGGACCGCGAGGAGCTTGTGGCTACTGCTGCGCGCGGGCATCGCGCGTCGGCCGCCCGTGGCCGGGCGCGCGCCCTGGAGCGGAAGATGAAGATGTGGTCGCCTTTCGCCTCTTGCGTCACGCTGGCGGCGGTGAAGGTGGGCGACGAGGCGGTGACGGAGCCTCGAGCACGGGCTGCTGCCTTGTCCAGCTACTGGGCGCCCGTCTTCTCGCGCAAGGCCTGGGCCCCTCTGGACGCGCAGAGGTGCGCAGATAGGATGATCAAGCCGTTCGACTTCTCGTCCGCGCCGCCACCATCGTACGGGCTCATGGTGAAGGTGGCGCGTCAGGCGACGCACTCGGCGCCAGGCATCGACGGGCTCCCCTACAGTGCGTGGGCGGAGTCGCCGCGCTGTCTTGAGGTGCTGTGGGCCGCGTGTTGCTGGCTCCTCTCGGGCCAGGGCCTCTTCGACGCCGAGTCCATCACGCTGCTCGCCTTCTTGCCGAAGGGCGAGGACGAGTCCGATGGTGTCGACGGGCGCTGTGCCAGGCCCCCCGACCAAGTTCGCGTGCTGGGCTTGCGCAATTGTTCGAGCAAGATCCTCACGGCCACGGTGAACGTGGCGCTGCAGGAGCCGCTGGCGAAGATCATCCCACTCTCCCAGAGAGGCTTCGTGCGGGGGCGGAACTTTGGGTACAACATCTTGGAGGTGGACCTGGAATCGCGGTGGCACAGCGCTCAACCTGACGCGGTGCAGAAATCGCCGATCACGGTGAGCTTCGACTTCGCGCAGGCGTTCCCATCGCTGAACCAGCTCTTCTTGGTTATGGTTTTGCGCAGGTTCGGCTTCCCCGAGGCCGTGATCGAGTTCGTTATTGAGCTGTATGCGGCGGTGCTTGCGGTGGCGGCCATTGCTGGCGTTGTGATCCCTCTCTTCTGGCAGCGCTCTGGGATCATCCAGGGCGACGGCCTTTCGGGGTCGCTCTTCGCCGTCGCCATGTCGCCCTTTTTCTTTGACGCCGAGGCTGACGTGGAGAAGAAGCGACATGGGATTGTGCGAGCCTGCGCGGACGACGTGGCGGCTGTGCTGGTCGCCTTCGTGCACATCTTGCGCATGCTCCGCATAATGAGATGCGCGGACAGGCTTGCGAATCTGGTCTTGAAGCCGAGCAAGTGCCACGTGGTTCCCACGGAGGCGGCCTTTAGCGAGCCCCTGCAGTCCAAGATCCAGGCGATGCTGGCCCAGCGCGCACCGCAGTGGGCGGACTTCAAGGTCGCGCCCTGCCTCCTCTTCCTGGGCCTGTGGGTTGGCCCCGCAGTGACGCTGGAGATCGCCTGGCGCGCCCCCTGGCGCAGGTACAGGCAACGCGCTCGCGCTGTTGGGGACGGTGTCACCTCCGTCACGATGTCGGCCCGGTACTACGCAACGAGGGTCCTCCCCGTGTTGGGGCATGTCGGACAGCACTTGCCGCTCCCGTGGAACCTCCGGCGCGAGGAGCCCACGGCTTTGGCCGAGGTCTTCAAGATGCCGATCGGTGCCCTCACGGTGAAGGACTGGGTTCAGGTGAAGGGGCGGGGGGGGCCCGCGCGTGCAGTCGGCGCAGGTCGCAACAGTGTCGGCCCTCATCCGGGCCGCCGGCGTTACGCTCTCGAAGTTCCGAGCGCTGCTCTCTCGACACCGGCGCCGAGTGGAAGGCGCCGTTGACTTCGTGCCGTTGCCGATGGCCTCCTCGCGGGCGCTGGCTCCCATCTGGTGGAAGCTGCCCTCGTATGCGGAGTTCATGGCCGACGCGCTGGGGATCGCTGCGTTGCCCGAGGAAGCCAGCCACCCGCAGGCTCTTCTGACGGCTGGGCGCCAGGCTGCGTTGCAGGAGTTGGAGGAGGCCGGGCTGCGGGGGAGGAGGCCCATGGTGCAGCAGCGCGTGCGCGCGGCGGTGGAGTCGGCCTGGCTTGAAGGGCAAGACCTGTCGCAGACATTCGAGCGGCGGCTCTTGAAGTGGTGGCCAGAGTTGGCCGAGAAGATACGCGCCATCCCGTGGGGCCAGCTCGGGGACTTGGTCTCGACGGCGTCGCCGGCCTGGGCATTCCAGGTCATCCGCTCGTTCTCCAGCGGCTGGCTCACGTCCCACAGGGTCCTCGATGCCCGCGGGCGCCGTTCCTGCATCCTCGGCTGCGACGCGCCCGATTGCTTCAGCCACTACGTGAACTGCGACCGCCTCTCTTGGGCTGTCTCGCTGGCCTTGGGCAGGGTGCTGCCTGGCGGCCGCTTCATCGAAGGGGGGCCTCTCTTATGGCTCGGCCTGGGAACCGCGGCCGAGCAGCCGCTGGACGCCGAGCGGTTCGAGCACGTGGTCATTGCGTCCTACTTCTACCACTCGTCGCGGCAGGAGCTGTTCGTGCCGCCCGACGATGCGTTGGCGCTTGCGCGGGCTGCGCTCCGTGCCGCCCGGTTGAGTGCTGCTCCGGCGCAGCGCGCGAGGCAGGCTGCTCGCGGGAGCGCGAGGGCCGCGGCGGCTAGCGGCCGCTAGCCGGTGGGAGAACTCATTCCGATGCTACTCTGGTCTCTCTCTCTCTCTCTCTGTCTGTCTCTCTCTCTCTCTCTCTCTCTCTCCCCTCGGCATGGGCGTCCAAGGCCCTGCATCCTTACTATACGGGCTGACAGCAACCATGCTTAGTTAGTCCTCTCTCTTTCTCCATCTCTCTCTCTCTCTCTCTCTGTCTCTCTCTCTCTCTCTCTCTCTCTCTCTCTCCCCCCGCGTTTCTATCTCTTATTTTGCTCGGTTGCCCAGTCTCTCTCTCTCTCTCTTTCTCGCGCCCCCTCTTTCTCGATTGTATATCCGTAAGGGCTTCGCCCCATGCCGCCGGCCCCCTGTCTCGGATAATGGGAGATGCAAATCCTAAATCATGAGGTCTGGGCGCCGCCGTGAAGCAGTGTCGGGACCTGTTTGTTCTTCGACCCTGACCCTACGGATCTGCGTGAGGGGTGCCGCCGAATCTCAGAAATGTGAAAAATCCCCGTTGTTTTTGGACCCTGACCCTACGGATCTGCATGAGGGGTGTCGCCGAATTTCAGAAATGTGCCAAATCTCCTGTTTTGTTGGACCCTGACCCTGCCGATCTGCGTGGGGGGTGCCACCGAATTTCAAAAATGTAGCAAATCCCTTGTGTTTTTGGACCCTGACCCTGCCGATCTGCGTGATGGGTGCCACCGAATTTCAGAAATGTGCCAAATCCTTAATGTTTTTGGACCCTGACCCCGCCGATCTGCGTGAGGGGTGCCGTCGAATTTCAGAAATGTAGCAAATCCTTTGTGTTTTTGCACCCTGACCCGCCGATCTGCATGAGGGGTGCAGCCGAATTTGAGAAATGTTGCAAATCCTTTGTGTTTTTGCACCCTGACCCCGCCGATCTGCGTGAGGGGTGCCACCGAATGTTAAAGTTGTTGGACCCCGACCCCGCCGATCTGCGTAAGGGGTGCCACCGAATTTCAGAAATGTGGCAAATCCTTTTGTGCTTTTGGACCCTGACCCCGCCGATCTGCGTGATGGGTGTGAATTTTTATTCACCCCGGGAATTCAGAGCACACGCTCAGGGCGTGGTAAAAATGCCCGTTTTGGGCCTTCCCCCCTCGCGCCGTCCATCAGCAAGAAACAGTTAACAGAAAGAAACAGAACTGCAACAGTGGAAACTGGAAACTGCAACTCATAGAGGAAACTGCAGGCCTTCGCCCTACAGCCTGGTGGCCCCACAAGGGACCGGCGGATATTCCCTTTTCTATATTTTTACAACCCGGGGGGGTGGGACCCCCCCCCCCCCGGTAAATCCGTACCCCCGGGATCTGGGGATTTTCGGACCCCCCTGGACGCTCTTGCAAGGGGTCCCCTGGGCCTCCCGTCCACCTTGACACCCTTGCCGGGCCTAGCCAGCGGGCCCAAAGCGGTCAAGAGGGTGGCAAAACGGCCCTGCGAAGGCTCCAAGCGGCTCCAAAAACCCACCGTGCGCCCGAAGACGGCCCAAAGAGGACTCCGATTGGCACCTCGATGCGACAAAAAACATTGATTTTCGCGTAGTTTTTCAGAGATTCTTGGAACCTCGGTTCTTCGGTCTTCCGGGCGTCCGAGACCGCCCGAGAGGCACCGAAAATCGTCCCAAACCCAACCAGACCGGCCTCCGGACAGTCCAAGCGAGCGCCAAGATGGCCCAACAGGGCCTTGATATGGCTCCAAGAGATGCCCATGACGGCCCAGGACGGCTCCAGGACGCTCTCCAAAGCAATCCACATCGTGACCCGGTCGTTGAGGGAGCCCGGGTTCGCAGCAAAGCGGCCCGAGGAACCCACCAGAGGCTTCCGAAGGGAGCCCCAAGAGGCCAAAACCGTCGAATTCCTATGGGGAAACACACATTTCTAACATGTACGGGTTTTGCGCCGGACTGCGGCCTCAACGGCCGAGCAGACAGCACACGAAACGGCAAACCCAGCAGCCAACAACGCAGCGAACCCACTCCCACGAAATAGCCAATCAAAAACAAAACGACAGCGCAAATAATTGTTAAAACGCAATTGCATACTTCACCGCACCCAGCGGCGCGGCGGCGGACTCCTACTGCGAAAAAGCCACCCTGACGGACTACGCCACGCAGTTCGTCTTCTGCGAAGAGTCGCAGCTGTTATCCCGACTGGGAGGAGACGCGCTGGAAGAGGACGGAGCAGGGGAGAGCGACGGCGAGGACGTAGCCGCGGGCGCCGACGAGCACGAGATCGACGCCGCCGCTGCGGCGGGAGGGGCCTGAATTCGCGCCGCGCGCTTGCTGCCAGTGGCGCAAAAAACTCAACCTCTCCCGACTCCCACCAGGGTCAACGGAGCAGAAGTCAGAGAAAAAATGTGTTTTTTTTTTCAGACGAGAGGCTGCGGAACAAGATGCACGGCGCGAAGCGCCAGTGCAGTCTTACATGTATGTATGTATGTATGTATGGATGTGCGTATATATATATATATATAATCGTATATATACACAGGTGTGTGTGTGTGTGTGCATGTCCTTGTTGTTTTGTTGTTGGCTCTCCCTCTCTCGCACACTTTCGTTATGTCTGTATCTCTCTATATGCGCATATGATTTACGAGTCCCTATAGTTGTCTCCGTCCATGGATCTAGACACATACACGTACACCTATACATACCATGAACGCATATGTTTGCGCGCGTGCTCACGTATATGAACACGTAAACAATAATGGACGCACGCGTAGACATCTACATAATTCTAAACGCTTCGCGTATCCCCACCAGCCCGTCCAGAAATGAGTCCCAGGGGAGTGGAGGTTATGAGGGAAGCGGGGGGGCATGCAGAAGAACAAAGGGCGGGGCGGGCCGCCATGTACCCCAAGAGGGGGAGGATGTAGGAGGAGCCGTCGTCGTCGGAGTAGGAGGAGGAAGAGGAGGAGCAGGGGGGGGAGCAGGAGGAGGAGGAGGAATAGAAGGAGGAGGAGATGGAGGACTGCGAGGACGAGGAGGACGAGAAGGAGGAAAAGGAGGAGGAGGAGGAGGAGGAGGAGGAGGAGGAAGAAGATTGGAAGGGAGGAGGAGGAGGAGGAGGGGGAGGGGGAGGAGGGAGGAGGAAGAAAAAGAGTAGGAGGAGGAGGAGGACAGTTGCGAGCTTGGGGGCCTCTTGGGCCGTCCTTGGGGCCTCTTGGCGGTCCCGGGGGCCTCTTGCGTATCTCGGGGAGCCTCTTGTGGCCTCTTGGGGGTCTCTTGGGGGCCTCTTGGAGGCCTCTTGGGGGCCTCTTGGGGCCTCTTGGGGCCCTATTGGGGCGCTCTCGGGGCGCTCTTGGGAGCCTTCGACGCGCTCTTGGGGCCATCTTGGAGGGATCTTATCAAGAAGGGGTGGTCCCCAATTTAAGCGCTGCCCCTCTAAGAGCGAGCAGTTGCCTCGCGAGTCGTGCAGCGTTGTGCACGCTCCTGATAGTGCCAAGATAATCTTTCCAAGTCCCGTGTGATGTACATAGACAATTAATGTTTTTTTTTGTTTTCTTCCTCGCCTTTCGCTCTTGGGGGGCCGTCTTGGGGGCCTCTTGGGCTCTCTTGGGGGTCTCTTGGGAATCCTTTTGTGAGCTCTCGTGGCGCTCTCTTGGGGCTCTTGGGGCGTTGCCCCTCTCCACGGGGCGCTCTTGGGGCGCTCTTGGGAGCCTTCGGGGCGCTCTTGGGGCCATCTTGAAGGAGATCGATCAGAGAAGAGGGGGTCCCCAATTAGCGCTGCCCCTCTAGAGTGCCTCGAGTCGCCTCTTGGGCCCCCCAAAAGGCCAAAATCCTTCCAGAACCGAGATAAAATCAATGTTTTTTTGTTTTCTCGCCTTTTTCGCTCTTGGAGCCGTCTTGGGCCATCTTGGACTCTCTTGGGGCCTCTTGGGGGTCTCTTGGCAGCCTCTTGGAGGCTTCTTGGGGGCCTCTTGGGGTCTCTTGGGGCCCTCTTGAGGCGCTCTTGGGGCGCTCGTGGGAGCCTTCGGGGCGCTCTTTGGGCCATCTTGGAGGAGATCTATCAAAAAAGGGGGGGTGCTTATTAGCCCCGCCCCTCCAGAGTGCCTCGAGTCGCCTCTTGGGCCCCCCCAAGATGCCACAATCCGTCCAAAACCTATGTAAAATCAATGTTTTGTGTTTTCTCGCCCGTTCGCTCTTGGAGCTGTCTTGGGCCATCTTGGACGCTCTGACACCTCGCGACCGGCCCCGTCCAGGTCAGTGGGGAGGGGTGAGGGGAGGGGTAAACCCCTCCCCGAAGGGGAAGAAGGGGGTTGGCAGAGGAGACTCCCTAGACCACCTACGCCCTAAAGGGCTGGTGGGATTTACATATACCTATATAGGGTTGTTCATTGCTTTGTGCAGGTATATGTGTACGCATGTGCACTGGTTAATGTGCACGCGCAGGCGTATACCTTTTGTGTACGCGCACATATGTAAACATATGCGCACCCCCAGGGCCCCGCTCACCTCCCGAACAACCTCTGGGAATCTCAGGCGCCGCCCCCCCTGGGCTTCCGGGGCCGCTCAGCGAGGGCCTCATGACGGCTGAGGACGCCCCCGAGACAGGTAAGAGTTCTCCAAGACGATCCACGACGGCTCTCCGACAGCCCAGCAGACCGTCACTGGCGCCCAAAAGGCTCCCAAGACCGCCCGAGAGAGTTCCCCGACCTTCGAATCGCCGACGGGAAATTATTTGTTTTGCGTTGCGTCCTTTCCAATTCCGCTGCGCTTCCCAGGCTGCCGCGTGACCCCCTCGAGGACCTCAAGATACTTGCGAGGAGCGCCCCGATCCGCCAAAAGAGGCCCCGCGAGGCTCCCATGACGCCCGAAGAGGCACCCACGAAGCCCCCCAAAGGCTTCCTAGAGGTTCCGAAGAGACCGCAGGAGACGCCCGAACGCCCCAACAGGCCCCCACCAGGCCCAATGCATTTTCTCGGCCGTGCCTGCTCGGGCATCAGAGTGCGAAACCATGAACGTATTGCTCATTCTTCGTTTCGTAGAGATAGGAGGTTCA